GATCAGCCTGGGCAACATAGTGCTGATTTGTTTCAAGTTACTTATGAGCCCAGTTTTGTGCTCAGTGCACTCCTAGACAGTACAACTCAGTCCAGGCTGCCCTGATTCCATGCACTATCTTCCAGCCAGTGGAAGCACTGGATATAAGGTAACTGGGGGTGCTTAAGCATCTGCAGTAACATGGTAGGCCACTGTAGCCACTGGCAGCCCATGATACTCTACTGTCATTGCTAGAGAAAAGGATCATGGAACACCTCTATCAGTAACCAAATAGTGGGAAGCAATTAATGAAAACATCTTGCTTCATTAATACTGTAATTAACATACTCAGTATAGCCTATTAATACTATACTCAGAACCAAGGGAAAACAAAGCTTTGCTCAGGAAGACTTGAAACATCTACATTTTCTTTTCCAACCCGACTTTTTTTCTGTTAAAAGCCAACCATGTAAAAACTGACGACAGGTCACACTGGATGGCAGAAAATACAGTATTGCTTTTAACTACTCTATACAAGCGATAAGTGACTAAGGGCATTGTACCTCCTTTCCTCTCTGAGATCAGTGGTCTGAGCACTTTAGGAGCTTAAAATGCAGGTGCAGGGAGCTAGGAATCACAGGTGTAGCTTGCATTTCAACCTTTAAGGTCAATTGGTTAGCTTGCTTTGACCACAAATAAAGCTCTTCTTAATTTCTCTAGTAGAGTCTTAACTTGATATGAAGCACTTACACGAGGAATGGTGCAGACAAGGCAGCTTTATTGTACTTTGTGGGGAGAAAAACATGATTCCATTTAGGGGGAAAAAAGCCATTGACACTCAGTAAGCAACACTGCCATCTAGTGGAATGGTGACACACCACCAAGAATTTCAAGACCCGATACGAAATGTGAGTGGATTTGGTTTCAATTTTCACCATAAAACAGCACTTTTAATAAGCTGGTTTTCAGAGAAACTACTGATTTTTTTTGAGAAACTACTTTTATCTTTAAAATGCATAAATGTATGTGTTTTCTCTGTTTTGGGGGGTGGTTAAGAATGAGTTGTATTTTTCTTATTAGAACATAAAATTCTCACCTTGAAAGTTAGAAAACACTGGGGCAACCCGCCTCTTTGAACATCCATCACTTCTGCTTGACAGTCTAACAGCAACCCCTGATTTTGACAGACAGTTTATAAAGAAGCAAAACTCAGCTGTACAAGAACGACATTCAGTTTTCTCATTTCTTCTTTCTATTTTTACAGTCTATGGTGCTAAGTATTTGTACTTCACTTATTTGAATTCCTGGAAAAAAAGCATTAGAACACACCAATAACAATTTTGCATAAATCACATAACCCAACTCTTAGTATGACTGCACAGTAACAGTGGAAGATATTGGTGTGAGGATGTGGGAATGCAGTTCTTAATGAATAATAAAGTAATTCTTCAGGTTTTAATTCGCCTTTATACCCAGGTGTTGGAGTGAATGTGTTGATCTGATGACTTCTATGAGCATATAAATGAGAATACTTAATGAAACACCTGGATGAAAAAAGAAAGAAACTTGTGAGAATAACATATTGTTAATAACCACAATCTCATATCGACATTTCTGTTATTACTGAGATTTCAGATTCTGGGTTAAGTGCTCTGCTCTTTGGAATATCCACAATGGTTATTGATCTTGCTAATGGGTTCCTTACTGCAGCGTTTCTGGGTTTATGGTTGGAGGCACTCACGGATTCCAGAATGCATGAGTCTGACACGGTCTTCATCAAACCATATCCTTGGCAAATAATAAACTCCTTTAAGGATTTCAGGGAAGAGCCAAGCTCTGGGAGAGAGGTATACAAGTGTAGAGTAAGAAGTTGAATTAAAACATTTTTAGTTGCATTTTGTCAGTAGACAAAACTGAATGTTTCAATTCTGAGAACCTGAGATTGTCCAGAAAAAAACAAAAGTTCAGTGTGTGGGACATGAGCAATGAGAAATCAGAACCAGGTTCTTTTGCATTTTCACAGCAGCATTAACTGGGGAGTGGAGGTGGTCCCTGAAGTTCTGTATCTGAATGAGGCTGGGTTTTTGTTTTTGTTTTTGTTTTTTTTACTGCCTCAGTGTTCACTGCAATTTGCAATCATCTCCCCTTCCCCCCAGTCTGAAGCCTTCCTTCCCCGCTATTCAAATTATCTGTGTCATTCACATAATGCTACTATTTGGGTACTCCTGAAGCCAAACCAATAAAAAATGCTAGGGGAGCCTTTTATTAATTCAAACATGATGCCAAAGTCATCTCCAAAAAAGTTTATTAGCATGATTAAAAACATTTTCTTGAATAATAACAGAAAGAATTCTAAACATGAAAGAATATCAGCGGCTATACCTTAAAACCAGTATTTGGAATTGGATGGACAGCTTTATTGCCAGTCTTCAAAAAACAATCCATTGATTGGTTCCATGAAGTTGTGACTATTGCTTTGTCTGGGAATGAGTCCCTACTGTAATTAAGTATAAAAAATATCTTCCATCATAATTGGAGTGTGACCTGCGTTGGAGAGTGGCTCTGAGTAAAGAGTTGATAAAAATTCACAAAGAGTTGGGTTTTTGTCTTTTAAAAACATTCCTTTACACACTACAAAGAAATAATTAGTATTTTGGCTTTTTAAATTCCTACATGATATTTAGAATGGCGGTCCCCAAGGGTCCTCCCTTCACATAATTGTGAACATAGACCCTCTTCCAAGGGCACATCCCAGAGGATGTGGACTCTGAAGACTTCGACCTCCACGTGTTTATACTGGTTTGAGAACAAAGACAGCGTCATCCAGAACGTAGTAGTCATTATACATGTCGCCTTCACACAGGTATGGCAGTCTGGTGAAAGCTTCGATAACAAAACCGGCTTTTTTGAAAACTTCAGGCAGACTATTCACTTGTTCTTCCCAGTTCTGTCCCTTGATTTCCAAAATTTCTGATGGTTTCTCCCACTTGCCACCTACTAATACAAATAAAAACATTCAGTTAAATTCTTGAACAAACAAGTGATTTAAAGAGGGAAGCAGGGAGGAGCCATATCCACCAAGGACTTGGTATGTTCCAGGCCTGAGGGCTTCATGAGTTACCTCTTTCATACTTCCCAGGTACTCTTTGAGACAGGTGGGCACAGAGATAAAGAATAGACTCAGAAGGGCTGAAGAACTTGCCCACACTTGCAAGGTTAATGAGTGTCAGCACGGAAACGTAAGCCCAGGTTTGTCTGGATCCAAGGCCCACACTGTTATCTTCTCTGACAGTTTTGGGTAGTATCTGCCAATAGACTGACTGGGGGGTGTAATGGTTAATGGGTTTAGAAAACTGGTTATTAAATGCTGGAATACTGCAACTGAGAGTAACATGTAATATTTGAAAGACAGTTTTGGACAAATGCAAGAAAATACTACTGGTGTAGGAAACTTAGGCAACTTATTACCCAAAGAGATTTATTAGGCTGAAAATAAAAACAGCTCATGAAGGATTTTAATTTATAAAAACAGATCATCATGGAGTTTTTCAAGGGAAACTGACTCATTCCTTGCCTTTTCAGAACAATTTTATAAACATTAAGCTCCAGGACCAGAAAGAGGTGGAACAGTAGGACGGATGCACTGTCCGGCATTTCTTCGACTAGAGATGAAGCCTCTATCAGTCATTTCCAAACATGAGCAGAAGATGCCTGGGGGACAAGGGAACTAGGGAAGGTCCTCAAATTCACATACAAACCTGGCACTGACTATAGACACACACAGAGATGATAGTATATTTAACTTTGGGAGTACTTTTTAGGTACTATGGTGATACAAAAACTACATACATCTGTTGAAATGTTAAAACCAGATTGAGGCTAGGCGTGGTGGCTCACACCTGTAATCCCAGCACTTTGGGAAGCCGAGGCGGGTGGATCACGAGGTCAGGAGATCAATACCATCCTGGCTAACACGGTGAAACCCCGTTTCTACTAAAAAAAAAATACAAAAAAAACAGCCGGGCGTAGCGGCATGCACCTGTAGTCCCAGCTACTTGGGAGGCTGAGGCAGAAGAATGGTGTGAACCTGGGAGGTGGAGCTTGTAGTGAGCGAAGATCATGCCACTGCACTCCAGCCTGGGTGACAGAACGAGACTCCATCTCAAAAAAAAAAAAACAAAAAAAAAAACCAGATTGCGAATAACTTTCTGTCTTTCTGTTAATGAGAAAATATATCATGAGCAGATGCCAAGGGCAGACATCACATCATGGTGGAGAGATTTTTCATAATTTTCAGTGGTGCAGATGACGCTCTTCCCATGTCTGGGGAATTGCCTGCCCAGAGTCTGGGAGAGAGGCAAGGCCTGGGAGCCGCTTTCCTGGCCTGCCGTGCAGCTGAGGCACTGGCACGCAGCCTGAGCCAGGCACACTTGCCCACGCCCTGGAATGGAGAGCCAGTGACCCAGAGCAGTGGGGATGTGAGCTTCTCCTTCTCTGGGGGTGGAGTAACGGCAGTGAGACCAAGGGGCCGGGGCAATGGTTGAGGGATGCTGACGAAAGGGCTGATGGCACCTAGTGTTTGGCAGTGGCAGCAGCATCCTCTTCAGACCTGTTTACGGTGTGATTTGAGGCATTCTTCCTGGCTGTGGATCCCATACAAGATTCACCAGCCCTCCCAGTGACTCTAGGAGCTACCTTCAAATGCTTGCATAAATTTCCTTTTGTTTAAGTCAGCCTGAGTCTGTTTCTGCTGCCTTACAAAGAAGACCCTTACTGAATCACTACTAAGCACTGGGGTAGAGGACACGGAGGACAGAGGACCCACGTATTTGTTTCTCAACATATTAAAAGGGGGTCTTTGGGCCAGGCACAGTGGCTCACACCTGTAATCCTAACACTTTGGGAGGCGAAGGCAGGGGAATTGCTTGAGGCCAGGACTAGTCTAGACAACACAGAATCTACAAAAAAATAAAAATTGGCCAGGGGTGGTGGTGCACACCTGTAGTCCCAGCTACTCAGGAAGCTGAGGCTGCAATGAGCTGAATCTTGCCACTGCACACCCACCTGGGTGATAGAGACCCTGTCTCAAAAAAAGGGGGGAAGGCAGGTGTCTTTGGATTCAAAACTGGAGTACAAAAAGTTAATAATAGACAATTTACTTCTTCACGGCATTAGAATGTGTTGTTTACTAACTTTTCTCTTGTCTCTACACAAAGCTACTTCTCCTTCTGCTGTTTCTTTGTTCCCAGCCATTACTGGCCCAGAGTGGCACCCACAGCAATGAACTGCAATCTTGCCACTGCACTCCAGCCTGGATGATAGAGACCCTGTCTCAAAAAAAAGTGGGGAAGGAAGGTGTCTTTGAATTCAAAACTGGAGTACAACTAGTTAATAATAGACAATTTATTTCTTCACTGCACTAGAATGTGTTGTTTACTAACTTTTCTCTTGTCTCTACACAAAGCCACTTCTCCTTCTGCTGTGTCTTTGTTCCCAGCAGTTACTGGCCCAGAGTGGCACCCACAGCAGATACCCTGGACAGTGACTGAACTGTTCTGAAAAATCCAAGTATGAATTATCTGTCAAACAGTACTCCTTCTTCCTGGGAATATGTGCTACGTGTAAATCAAAATCTCACCCAAAAACATCTAACACCTATGAGGACTGTAAAATCCATGAAAAAAAAATGATATGCACATTTCTAAATGTGCTCCAGGCCAAAATCTCAACGTTAAATGGTGAAGCTGAGTTACAAACCATCCTTGCACAATTTCAAAAAGTTCCTGATTATGGTTCCTTCATAAGAGGTTCCTCTCTTCAGCTCTTCCCTTCTGAAAAAAGAAAGCCAACTTTCAAATATACACCCCAGCCCGCCCCGGCACACACAGAAATGGGGACTGTGAGCAGAAGCAACATCGCGCGCCATCTGCAAACCAACCTCATTCTATTTTGTGTCGGTAAGGTTCTTTTTCTTCTCCTCCTTCATTTTATTTAAATCAATTGCTATTTTTCACCTAATGCATTTATATTTTAAGCTCCTTCAGATTAATTTTTAAATGTATAACATTATGGAAACTGCCTAAGAGGATAAGTTTCCCTTTTCCCCTGAGAAATAGATAATAAAAAAATAGCTGAGAAAAAGTTTCATATTAACCTTGAAAAGTCTCTTTGCTATTATGCCGCTTTGGAGACAATCAGACCAAACAAAGGGCTGAAAATATTCTTAAAATTGTAGGTACATCAACAATTTATCATACAAACTTGATCTGCACATAGAAAGCAATAAACAATTATTTGCTGAATATTTTCAAAGAACAATTTCTATAAAAGTACTTTTCATTTAAGAAAAAAAACTGCTACGACTCCTTATATAGAGAATAGCCATCCCATAATATATGTTTTTAAAATTCTGCCTACCCGTTTTTTTATCTACAAAAGAGAAAGTATTTCCAATGCATCTAATAATCTCAGATTTGCCCACACAATTTGCATTATAGGGCAGGGAAGGGGGAAAAGTTCTTAAAATTAATTTTTTCTCATCTGTGAAGAAATACATCAAAATGTTAATGGGAGTTATTTCAGGCAAAAGGACTATGGGTGACTTTTTGCTTCTACTTTTAATAATCTGTTTTTTGCTAATAAGTATATATTACTTTCATAGACTTTTAATTAGCATTATTTTAAAGAAGAATTATTGTCTTTTAGAGATATATTCTGAAAGACATGCAGATAAAATAGATGGAATTTGCTCTAAAATAATATGGGAGTGAGGGAGTAGGTGGGAGGAGAAAAGAAACAAGATTGGGTCAAAGCCATGTGATGGCAGGGGGCTGACTGTACTACTTTGCTACTTTGATATGTTAGAAATTTGAAATCTAATATCATAAACAAAGCTTTGGGCTGGGCGTGGTGGTTCACGCCTGTTTGGGGGCCAAGGTGGGAGGATCGCTTGAGCCCAGGAGTTCAAGACCAGCATGAACAACATAACAAGACCCCCATTTCTACACAATAAAAAAAATAGCTGGGTGTGATGGCATGCACCTGCAGCCCCACCTACTTGGGAGGCTGAGGCAGGAGGATCACTTGAGCCCAGGAGTTTGAGGCTACAGGGAGCTGTGATCATGTCACTGCACTCCAGCCTGGGCAACATGGCAAGACATTTACTTAGTTCTTACTTACTAGATAGACAGCTTTGTTTTAAATGTCAAGAATTAGTTCTCTACTTACTTTCAATATGGTTCGTTTGTTTGTTTTGAGATGGAGCCTCACGCTGTCGCCCAGGCTGGAGTGCAGTGGTGCGATCTCGGCTCACTGCAAGCTCCGCCTCCCAGGTTCACGCCATTCTCCTGCCTCAGCCTCCCGAGTAGCTGGGACTACAGGCGCCCGCTGCCACACCCGGCTAAGTTTTTATATTTTTAGTAGAGACAGGGTTTCACCATGTTAGCCAGGATGGTCTCAATCTCCTGACCTCGTGATCCGCCCACCTCGGCCTCCCAAAGTGCTGGGATTACAGGCGTGAGCCACCATGTCCAGCCTCAATATGGTTTTTTAAAATAATAATAATAATCTTTTTATTCCCTCCACAGAGGAAATAAATTTTCAACCTTTTCATTGGATACTGTTTTTAAAAAACAATTCCTAGAATATGAGGCTTCTTAAAAGAAATTGTTCACAGAAGCAGGCTGTGGTGTGACATATCCAAACTTCTCTTTTTTGTTAATAGGTTGCCTAACTGGTAGGGGGAGGGAACCACAGTTTCATCACAAGTCCCCGCTCACATAGGAAATCATTACAATTGGTTTTCTCCCACACTCAGACTAATTGGGAAGAAGGTGGAAATAAGTAGAGATATGAAATTCCAAAGTTACAATTACCTGTTTGTATCCTATATTACTAGTTTTTAAAGAAAAGTGTTAAAAGTCAGCTACCCGCCCCCCACACCAACTTTTTTTTTTTTTTTTTGAGACAAGAGTCTCCCTCTTTCACCCAGGCTGGAGTGCAGTGGCACAATCTTGGCTCACTGCAACCTCTGACTCCCACATTCAAGTGATTCTTCTGCTTCAGCCTCCCAAGTAGCTGGGATTACAGGCATCCACCATCACACCTGGCTAATTTTTTGTATTTTTAGTAAAGACAGGGTTTTACCATGTTGGCCAGGCTAGTCTCGAACTCCTGACCTCAGGTGATCTGCCCACCTCGGCATCCCAAAGCGCTAGGATTACAGGCATGAGCCACCACGCCCAGCCTCTATTCCTTTTATAGAGACAGGGTCTCACAATGTTGCCTAGGCTGGAGTGCAGTGGTGCCATCACAGCTCACTGCAGCCTGGAATTCCTGGGCTCAATCAGCTTCCCATCACAGCCTCCTGAGTAGCGGTGACTAATGGCCACACCACCACACCTGGCTCTTTAGCTTCCCTTTTAGAAACACTACCTGATTTGGAAGGCTGAGGCGAGTGGATTGCTTGAGCCCAGGAGTTTAAGACCAGGCTGGCCAACATCACAAAACCCTGTCTCTACCAAAAATAAAAAAATTAGCCAGGCATGGTGGTGCACACCTGTAGTCTCAGCTACTCCAGAGGCTGCGGTGAGAGGATTGCTTGAGCCCAGGAGACAAAGGCTACAGTAAGCCGAGATCACACCACTGCATTCCAGTTTGGGCGACACAGTGGCACCCTATCTCAAAAACAAAAATGTGTAAATAATGGAATCGTCCACTTTTTAAAAATAATTTTATAAATAAAAATAAAAACATTATCTGAAAGATGACTTGAGACTGAGACCGTGATTAACCTTGCTAAGTTTTGGCAGACCCAATTCCATTTTAAATTTCCACTCAGAATATACTATAAAACGTTTCACTATACTTGTAAGGTGCTTGAGTCTGGGCAGGAGACATGAGGTTGTATTTATCAGACTTAGAGGGGATCCAATCCCCTTGGCTGGAGATGGAGCTGAGCTGGGCCTCCCACAGACACGAGGCTCTGAGAAGCTTGCAGGCCTCCTCCAGATGACTGCACCCTCTTGTCTGGTTTGCATTTATCAGGTCACCACAGAGCTCCCAGCTCATCTCACATTGCACAAATACTAAAATATAACACGATGAGAAGAAAGCCAGGCGCAGTGGCTCACACTTGTAATCCCAGCACTTTGGAAGGCCGAGGCAAGTGGGTCGCCTGAGTTTAGAGGTTCAAGACCAGCCTGGGCAACAAGGCGAGACCTGTCTCTACAAAAATACAAAAATTAGCTGGGCACAGTGCTGCATGCCTGTAGTCCCAGCTACTTTTGAGAAGCTAAGGCAGGAGGTCAGGGTTGCAGTGAGTCATGATTGCGCCACTGCACTCCAGCCTGGGAGACAGAGACTCTAAAAAACAAAAACAAAAACAAAAACACATGGTGAGAAGAGACTCGCATCACAAACGCCATGATTCTAACTTTAATTCCTCTGCTGTTATGAATGGGGATCCATAAGAGAAACGATAAAAGAAAAAAAGCCCCTGTCTGAAAAGTAAGCATCAGTCCACTTGGATGACTTTTCAATTTCATTTACAGTAGCAAAGGACAAACTCACACAAATAGGACCATTTGGGAACATATGACCAGGCGGAAGTCAGACCAAAAACTTGACAAATTCCAATTTGTCTCAACCAATACTATTTTACCTATGGCCTCCCCTGCCGCAAGAAGGGTTTAGGGTGGGTCTTTCCATTTGTGCACTCCAGTGGCTTTCCAGCTTCACATGCCCGGGATATGAAGGCCAAGGTGGGGGACTCAATCCTCGTAACTTGGAAGAGCACCGCATGGTGGACAGTGCACTGGACTGGGTGACTCATCCCAGCTCTGTGAACACCTCGTGGATAGACATCCACAACCATCTCTCAAACAGCCATCTGACACTATGGAAGCAGTAGCAGTGGCGGCTGCAGCAGCAATCGCTCCCTTGTATTTAATACTTACTATAGCTTAGGCAGGTAAACACTTCCTAGGCATCGTCTTGAATGTCACACTAACTGCATGAGGTCAACAATACTATCCTCATTTGCTAATGAGGAAATTGAGATCCTGAGATTATAATGCTGGGAACAGGCAGAGCTAGGATCTGAACTCAAGTCTGTGCCCTTTATCACAATACTGTTAATTAAATAAGATAAATGCTACAAGGGCCTACAACGCAGCACACACGCCAGGAAGAAACCAAATATGCTTAGCTATGGCCTGGTGAGCTCATTTGGTCCCTGCTCAGTAATCAAAGACATGGTAGGCTAAGCCAGGGCTGCATTTCCACAGGTGTACAACTTGCCTTTTATCATGTTTCCCAAAGGGACATGAGGCTCACAAAGGAACAATTGTGAATGGCCATGAATTCCTGGCGATCTCAACTCCCACAAAGCACAAACATCGCTGCTGTTCATAGGCTCCATCAGCGGCAGCAGCGTTTGTCTGGGGACACAGGTTACCACACTGAGCACAGCACTCTGGGGAGGCCAGGGTGTGGACAAGAAGGTGGGCTGGGAGATTAAGTGACTGGATCGAAGGAAAGCTTGTAAGGAGCAAGAGTCATAGACAGACCCCAAACTTCTGACTCCAATACAGTGCCACCTCTGTGCAGGACTCTGTTCCCCTGAAGCCTCTCTAGGGCTGGCCTCAAGTCAACAGACATCATGTGACCCAGCAAGTCAAGGTCAAAAAACAGGAGTTGGGACAAGTGAGGACCACTGGTGTCTGTTTTTAGTCTTATTTATATTGGGATTAAGGTAAGAAAAATAACAGAATGGCTGGGTTTCCTACCTCAAAAATATAAGTAAAATAAAAGTGCAGACAGTGAGGTGACAGGCCCATTAACCCACTCATCTGCTTCCTCCCGCAGGTGCTGTGGGCACCTGTACTGTTTCTGTCACACAACCATGGTACCTAGAAGTGGACTACACTCACGAGGCCGTCACCATAAAGTGTACCTTCTCCGCAACCGGATGCCCTTCTGAGCAACCAACACGCCTGTGGTTTCGCTACGGGACTCAACAGCCTGAGAACCTGTGCTTGGACGGGTGCAAAAGTGAGGCAGACAAGTTCACAGTGAGGGAAGCCTTCATGGAAAACCAAGTTTCCCTCACTGTAAACAGAGTGACTGCAAACGACAGTGCAATTTACATCTGTGGAATAGCATTCCCCAGTGTGCCGGAAGCGAGAGCTAAGCAGACGGGAGGAGGGACCACACTGGTGGTAAGAGGTCAGTCAGCGAGGCTTTATTTCAGTGCATCACTGCATCTTGTTCAGGCCTGTAAAACCATTACCTCACTCACAAGCAGAAATCAGGAGATAAATTTGCTATGTTAATACCCTAGCCAGTGAAGGGTGTGATCTGAGCACAAGTCACCAGGAGGTTTGGACTAAAGAACTACTCCAACTGGCTGGGTGTGGTGGTTCACACCTGTAATCCCAGCACTTTGGGAGGCTGAGGCAGGCAAAATCACTTGAGGTCGGGAGTTCAAGACCAGCCTGGTCAACATGGTAAAACCCCATCTCTACTCAAAATACAGAACTTAGCTGAGTGTGGTGGCATGCACCTGTAGTCCCAGCTACTTGGGAGGCCGAGGCAGGAGAATTGCTTGTAACCCAGGAGGCGAAGGCTGCAGTGAGCCGAGATCACACTACTGCACTCCAGCCTGGGCGACAGAGCAAGACTCTGTCTCAGAAAAACAAAACCAAAGAACTACTCCAATCTATCTCGAACATCCACGAACACAAGTCAGTGATTTGCTGGGTGCTCTATTCTCTCTCCATAGTGGCAGCTAACCAGCCATGTTCATCCCTTTTGTATATCACAGTGACTTAGCATAAAGTACCATGTCCAAAGGGAAGCTTGTGGTGAGTAACTATCAGCTTTCTCAGGAACTAGTCTGGTAATGCACCACCTAGAACAAAGCACTAGAGAAGTGTAGAAGATCAATAAATTGGACCCAGAGAAACTATGCAACATGGAAAATAAGCACAGATTGGGAGGGAAGCTACTAAGGGATCCCTGACCCTTCCCATTCCGCCTGGTCATCAGTGAACGGAAAGTGATGACTCTCACTTCCTGAGATTTGATAAAACCCATGACAATTCCTCACCCGAGCAAGGACATCAAACATAGCTAAATCCTATCAGTAATTTCACCAAGTCATTCCCTTGAGTAGACTGAGATTAAGAAATTTCCAAGAAAGAAAAAAAAAAAAAAGGGAATTTCAGAGAAAAAGCTTTACATGATTCTGAAAGAAAAAAGAGAACAGCAGCAATTCCTCACCTTATTGGGGTCTCTTCCCGTAGGAAGTACCCTGGTACGATGAGCACTGAGATTGTTAAAACATGAACTCAAAATCGACCAGCCCTTTGATTTCAAAATAGGACTCTCAGGAAGGGGGATCATCCAGTATTATAATCCCTACTTTTAAACTACTAGGGTTCTAACGGGCTTTTGATATTCAAATGTCATTTAACCTTAGTTTATTCTCAGCTGTCAGCTAAATTATAAACAAGTTAAGGCACATAAAGCATTTTTAATAGTGCCTGACATATAGCAAATAATAAATGTTAGCTACTGATATGAAAACACACACAGCTTTAGAGATTGGTATGTCTCACTGCATTAGCCTTCTAATAACATGTTAGTCAAAAGGAAAAATGGCTTGTGAAAAGATGAAGATCTCAAAACTGCAAGGCTTATATAAAGTGAAGTGAAAGTGAAAGGCAGAATCGAAAGTGTTAAGGCAGACATGGCAACTTCCTGTCTTTTCTACAGAGCTCTTAATTTAGCACTGAAGCTTTTTTATTAAAGTTATATAGATGTGGTTAATTTGTTAGTTTCACAAATAAAAATGCATGCTGCATAAATTGCATTCACAGGATAAGCATCTGTGGGATTTTTTTTTTTTTAAGACAAGAGTCTTGCTCTGTCGCCCAGGCTGGACTGCAGTGGCATGATCTCAGCTCACTGCAACCAACCTCCACCTTCCAGGTTCAAGTGATTCTCCTGCCTCAACCTCCTGAGTAGCTGGGATTACAGGCATGTGCCACCACGCCCAGCTAATTTTTGTATTTTTAGTAGAGATGGAGTTTCACCATGTTGGCCAGGCTGGTCTCAAACTCCTGACCTCAAGTGATCTGCCCGCCTCGGCCTCCCAAAGTGCTGGGATTACAGGCATGAGCAATCACGCCCGGCCTCCTCTATGGGATATTTAGTTGGAAAGTACAGGCTATTCAGACATTAAGTACAAATCTAATTGTATTTTGTACTCCAAATAGTCAGGTAATTGGAGACATGGCATGTTACTTAATCTCCTACCCAGAGCACAAGACAATTTCTGCAAGGACAGAGACATTCCGAATGTGAAAATGGATTCAATAACTCTATTTCCAGAATTTTATCATAAAGAAAAGAAGAGCACATTCGGTAAAAGTGCCTGTCTTTCAAGCACGCAGTGAGCACTGCGCTCCTCAATGTATGGCCTTCCCAGGTTCTTTCACAGATGGACTCTTCAGCTATGTGTACCAGTTCCAAGGTTATAAATATCGTCCTTAACAAATACATGTGAAAGTATCTTAACCACATAGGCTGGCTCTTGATGATGCTGGTAAACCATTTCTACCAAAAGAGATTTTAGATGCCCCTGAACAAACTGTCTGGAAATGTTTATCTAACTTTGAATAATCCTTTATCTAAAAAGTGATGCTCAGCAATACGACAAATGGTTGGTTGAATTTTTTTAATTTTTAAAAACAAGTAACATTTTTGGTTTAACATATTTAAAGAACTGATGAACTGGCATTAACTATCACATACTTGAGTACCTTTTGAGGTCTAGTTTATGAATAGGCAAGCAGAGTAAGTTCACGTTTCACCTCTAACATGCTGTGTCAAGGATACTTTATACTAATGTATTTGAAAAAACAGGCTTTAATAGTGACTGTGTTTCTTTCTGTTTTTGTAATTAAGAAATTAAGCTGCTCAGCAAGGAACTGTGGAGCTTCCTGACAGCTCTTGTATCACTGCTCTCTGTCTATGTGACCGGTGTAGGCGTGGCCTTCATACTCCTCTCCAAAGTAAGTCAAATCTTCTTGCATGCAGTGTCCCTATATCCTTGAATATTATCAAAAGAAAAAATAATTTCCATCTCTCCGCAAGTTACGGGCCTCAGCAAGAGCTCCCTAATTAATATTTTCCTGTGCATCTGCAGGGAACACCACCTGCAGAAACCACCACCTGCAGAAGAGGTCTTTCGAAGAAGGCATCATACATTCTCATCACTGAAATTATTAGCCAGAGGACACAATTTGCAGTGTTTTCTCTTTAAAGCCCAGTAACATGGGATTAAGAAGAGAGCCATCCACTATGCTATCTTTCTGCTATAGGGGTGAGGTGTGGGCAGGTGGGGGGTAAGATATTACTGTTATCTACGAAAGCTTTAAGAACAGTCTTGAAGAACAAAAATGGGTTGATGAAGAGACTAAAAGCCGCCTTAAAATCTTCAAAAAGGGCTAACGTTATTGAGAAAGAAAACCTTTTGGCTATGCGTATAAGAAGGGAGATATATACCATTATGTTAGGATTACTATAAATCCTACAATCAACATCAGTTTGTTCAATTAGTTTTTAATGGCATAAAAGCATCTCGGAAGTGATGTAAAAATTATTAACTCTTATTGTATATCATTTAAATATTAAGTTAGTTTAATCTTATTAGGGCATGTGATACCTGCCGCCATTGTTATGAGTACATACAATGTTTCACAGACTTTCCTTCTCTTCTTGGCAGTCAAAATCCAAACCTCTAAGAAACAAAGAAATAAAAGAAGACTCACAAAAGGTACAGACCAACACTTGCAAAATATTTTTTAAATTGTGGCTGGTTGTAACTATTTCAAAACTGAAATATTTTTAGTTTTTAAATATTTAAATGTTAAGTTTAAACAGAGTATCAAGGTAATTTTCAACCATAGATACTGTTTCCTATTGTTGAGAAACTCAATGACAAAATAATCTCAAGGGGTAAACTGTGACTTAAATTGGACAGTTCTCAACCATAAATTCCATTTAAAGTTCTCAAATACAAAAGAGTTAACGGTAGGCATAGATGTGTTGGGGGAGGCAGTAGTTTTTGAGACCGGTGGCAATAAAGCAAGAAAAGTTCTGATGATGTGTAGTTATCATCGCTTATATTCCCAAAGGACAGATTTTTTTTTCTCGTTTGTCTTTATAGAAGAGTGTTCGGCGTATTTTTCAGGAAATTGCTCAAGAACTATACCATAAGAGACATGTGGAAACAAACCAACGATCTGTAAGTGTAAAATGTCAAAAAAAAAAAAAAAAGGAAATACAGATATAAAGCATGTTTGAAAAAACTAAGCTGCCAAGGAGCTGTCAATAACCATGTTTTCCTTCAGAAGAGTCTGAAAGAGAACTTTTTTTTTTTTTTTTTTTTTTGAGACGGAGTCTCGCTGTGTTGCCCAGGCTGGAGTGCAGTGGCCGGATCTCAGATCACTTCAAGCTCCGCCTCCTGGGTTTACGCCATTCTCCTGCCTCAGCCTCCCGAGTAGCTAGGACTACAGGCGCCCGCCATCTCGCCCGGCTAGTTTTTTTTGTATTTTTTTAGTAGAGACGGGGTTTCACCGTGTTAGCCAGGATGGTCTCGATCTCCTGACCTCGTGATCCGCCTGTCTCAGCCTCCCAATGAAAGAGAACTTTCACATGAAATGCATTTTTATATAGAACCTGTTTTAATAAATACATAACAAAAGATATCTGATAGAATATTAAATAGCCCCAGTCTGGCTTCTTAGTGACATGGAAACTTTCAGAAACACATTGGACACCAGCAATGTTCTCAATACAGACAATGATGCTTTAAAAGGACGGATTAAAAGCTACTCTGTACGGTATCCTGCATGCAGTGGTGGGCATTCAGTAGATACTGCAAACGTTTGTGGGTCAAATTATGAAAAAAATTACTTATTACTTATAAGGTGAAAATAAATTTACATTAGGAAAGATGCAGCTAATGATACTAAAAAATGAGTATTTCTCCAGTGTCTGGAGTCGAACTGAAAAGAAGAATATATCTATACCTATAACACATCCTGAAAGTATTTCTTTCCTTTTTTTTTTTT